TTAAATTTGTGTTGTTGAAAGATGTTATTGTATAAAGACCTACTAGACTTTCACTCTAAAAAGCTGCATTATTTTTTTTGTCTCAGTTGTTCTTGTCAACTGTTTAAATGAATGTAAGCTCTGTTTTTAGAAAACTGTAAAAGACCTATTAAGTAAACCTCACTTGATATTATATTGGATTATCTGTAGTTAGCTTTTTCTTTAAGTAAAAGAGATTCAAAGCCTAAAACTGTAGGCCTTGGAAAACTTTTTGTTGAAGAATCTTCCAAGAACAAAACTAGCCCATGGGGGTGGTGCTAAGTTGTGTACAAAATTCCTTAGTGGGAGAGTATACTCGCGCAAAAAAACAAAAAACAAAAAACGATGTAGTGCATTTCGATTTCACTGCATGGTTTTTATTATGGGAGAAATTATCATCATTTCGAATAATAAATAATTGAAGATTTTTTTCCCGATCTTATTTTTTCAGTTTCATTCAAATTGTTCTCCCTGTGACTTCCGTATCGTGAGCTCCGCTTTTAGGCAGTGCCTAAATATATATATTAACATTTTTCCAAATATCAAAAATCAATAACCATTTCCAAAATAAGTGTATATTTTTGCATGAATTCCATAGCTGCGTCAGGTTTCTCAGAGATCAGAATGAAAGAGGCAGAAAAAAGAAGTCCCTCCGAGTACGTAACAAAGAACATACCGAGTGTGGAAAGGAGATTGCATGAAGGTACGTATCAGGTCCACGAAATCTGCCTGGTAAACGTGGGAATCTTGTTCAACATCGCTTACCAGTAGATGATGAACAAGGTGTATAATACGAGACGTTTTGCGTTGCTGTATTTCTCACGACTAAATTAAAAAGACTTAATTCTATTTTTAGAAGGAGGAAACGTCACGCTTTTATAAAATTTATAACAAATATTTTTAGGTATCACTGTAGCATGTAATCAGTAGACTAAAGCATTGCATTAGTTAGGTTACATCATATTCACGTCGACATGAAAAGTTCTCGTTTACAGTTCCCTACGTTCGTGAAATGCGGTCCTTAAAAGGCCGGACCAAACCCAATAGGAGTCTTTTCTTCATCACTGTAAGCTTTAGTTTTGCACCCTAGTTTGAAAAGTATATCACAATTTAATAACATATTTCCAAATATCGAAAATCGATAACCACTTTCAGAATAAGTATATATTTTGCATCAATTTCCTTAGCTGCGTCAGGTTCCTCGGAGATCAGATTGAAAGAGGAAGAAAAAAGAAGTCCCCCAGAGTACTTAACAGGTTCCTCGGAGATCAGATTGAAAGAGACAGAAAAAGGAAGTCCCTTCGAGTACGTAACAGGTTCCTCG